TAAACAGAAACATTCAAAATTAGTTACATGGACGGTATACACACGACTAAGGGCATCTGATGACTTTACACCGGGCCAATTTGCAACAGGTTCGCCTTGAATACGGCGTTTCCAATCCTTCCTAGATATGTTCCAAGTATAATAGCGGGGGACTTCAGAATATTACAACGTTTTTGCAAAGGGGTCGGTTTGACAAAGTTGAAAGAAGGCTGTTAGTGTAGTTTTTGGCGGTGATGCAATTCTTTCTTGGAAATTTCTTTCGGTGAAATATACACGCTCTCCATTTTCTAAGTGCACAGCAAGGTGAGTAACTGTTGGGTGCCTTTCGTGTAAAGGGAAGCCAAGGAAACGCCACGCTGCCTTGTTACTGCTAACATAACGCCCTGCTTGAAAGGTCTGTACTTCATTAACGGGATTTGCCTCACCTTCACTCCTGAGATTAAATATTGCTTGGTCGCTTCCTTTATTTATGTACTTACAGATATACTTCATTGCGCGTACAGAGCTACATGCTTCTACATTAATGTGGGCATTAAACATTTTACATAGAATGGGCGAATACGGGACAATCCAGCTGTTATCTAAGGTTTCGAACGCTCCAGAGCGAGATTTGATTGTAACTGTTACATTGGCGTCGCTAGAAACTTCATCTTGTAAATGTATATAATTCTCAATGCGCAGTTTTTTTTGATTTAAAGATATATAACGGAGACGTTCACTTTCTACTTTCACATACATGACTACCAAAAATTGATGAAATAATTGTCTACACCGGGCTAAGAGGTTAAAATCATTTTCTCGCAACATCATATGATACGCATAAAAATCCATACATATTACTTTTTTGTTCGGAGTAGTCTCCTTTGTGACCGGGTTAATGAGTGGAATTTGAAAATGATAACCCTCTTGTCCTTTGCAATAAATCAATGGGTATTGCAGAGCGTCATAAAACTTGTGTGTATCGGCTACCCGTTGCAACGTATCATCACGTGCTCGCAAAACAATGTCTCGTGAAGAAAATTGATCACCACTAATTACGGCTGCTATTTCGATTATCAAAGGTGCATTATAGCGCCTTTCATGCTCTCCTCGAGGGGTCCGATCTGCGTGAATGACGACTTTATAATCCTCTTCAGGTAGGTTTTCTAAAGCAGTTTTAAATGTTTTGACTAAAATGTTACGTTCATGCAAGAATCTTTGAATTTTGAACACTGCGTCTCTCTCAACGCCCTGGATAAATTGGCAGCGACGATCTACCTCAATTTCTTCGTCACCTATAAAATATACTTGTAAAAATTTATGCTGTTCGTTTTCAGCTGGAAAAAGTGAACCTATTCTATGATAAATTTGCCCTTGCACCGTAAATGTAGGCGAAAATCCCGGCATTATTATTTCCCAGTCAACTCCGAAGGACGTCATTTGAAAGCATGAGTTATATTTCCGGATCCTGTTTAAAAAGCGCCGTGACTCATTAGCATCATATAAAAAGAGAGTTTTCAAAGGTTCTTCTGGTTCCCCAAGTAAGAGAAGAGACACTTTGCCATTGGAACAGCACATGCCTGCGGTCTCATCTTTCCATTTTAAAGCACTGCAAAGTCATCACGCCTTGTCCAACAGTCCGATAACAACTAACTTGTGATTTTTATAATCAATCAACGGATCATCAATTGAATGCTGCGACATTAAAAACCGACCAATTGTTTCTTTGAAAATTTTGTCGACGTTCAGCTTGGAGCTGTGCATTTATATCTCTTCGCGCCTGTGTCTGTTCTGGCGTTTCAGATGCCCTTATAGTAGATTGACGTTCAGCTTGCTCAATGAGTCTGTGTTGAGTTTCATCAGGTGTTTCCGCGGCTCTTAAGGCGGCCTGACGTTCTGCTTGTTCGAATAACCTTTGCTGACTTTGAGCATGTGTTTCAGTAGCTCTTAAAGTAGATTGACGCTCTGCCTGTTCAAGACACCTTTGCTGACTTTGATCAGGTGTTTCAGTAGCTCTTAAAGTAGCTTGACACTCTGCCTGTTCAATTCGCCTTCGCCGACTTTGAGAAGGTGTTTCCGAAGCTTTTAAAGTAGCTTGACGTTCTGCCTGTTCAAGACGCCTTTCCTGACTTTGAGAAGGTGTTTCGGAAGCTTTTAAAGCAGCCTGACGCTCTGTCTGTTCAAGACGCCTTTGCTGACGTTGAGAAGGTGTCTCTGATGCTCTAAAAGCAGCCTGACGCTCTGATTGTTCTTGCTTTCTCAGTTCAGCATCTTCTAAAGATTCTAGCGATCGAGCTAATCTTTTTGCTTGTCTTTGAGAAGATACTCTTGAAAGGCTGGACTTACGTTTGCGAGGCATTATGAAGTAACAAAAAACTATTGATAAAAAAACGTTAAAATACCTAAAAGGAATTAAATTTCCTTTTAAATATTTTTAAAAGCAAATCCAAAATATCTAAAAGGAATAAATATTCCTTTTAAATATTTTTTTTTAAATCAAAACAACAAAACCAATTCAAGACACAACACGAATCCGAAAACGATAGCCAAAAAAAAATCGAATCAACTTAAACCAAATCACAAAACAAATCGCAGAACAGCACATTTAGTTAAAATTGAAAACAGGTACATAATAATGAACTTTCTATACAGGTAGTACATTAGGTACTTAACTACTTTAATTTGCTAACTAACGAAAACATCTCATTGATATAAGCACGATTATCGAAAATCTTAAAATTATCTATTAATTTATTTAGAATAGGTAATTTTTAGGTTTTCGATAATCGTGCTTACGTATAGGAATCTAATACTTATCCTAATATACCTAATCCAATTTATGTAAGTAAGTACATAAGAATCTAAAAAAGTCAGTGATAAATAAAATTTGTTTTGTAAGTTGTTTTTTTTTTTAAAAACAGTTTAACACGACAGAAACATAAAACTGAAAAGGAGCACCCAATCTGCCGAAACAAACTAATAGAGTTCAGTCCAGGTATTATATTGGTCACGTCATGTCATACTAAAGTTGTTCAAAACGACTATAAATCAATAGCACGCTACAGATTATAAACTATAAATTTCTAGCGCGCTATTAAATACGCTATGTTATAGCGCGCTATTTATAAGAAAGCGTGTAGGAGGCCGGCAAGCGCGTTAAGTTTTGCTGCACGCTATATCTAGTAGCACGTTACATTACATATCATTCATTGGATAAACCGCGTGCTATACAAGAACATTATTGCGTAATAAGACGCGTTTTAGACTAAAATAAAATAAAGCTGTAAAGAAAAACCAATGAACGCTTTTTTATACTTTTCAGATTTACGACTTTCTATAATCCTAAAAATATTTTTAAGGCATGTACTTTTTAAAACGAAACTAAATAAATTATTTTTTACTATATTATAATAAAAAATAATAGTTGTCCCCTCCGTCCGTCCCACTGATCGGGGAGGCAATTTGTAGCGAAAGGCAAGATGTTTTATAACAAAAACTAGACCTTTGGGAATCTGGATATCACGAAAAATCTATTGAATTTATCTGTTCAAAATAAAATTATATATATTAGACACCGCAAGGTTTTGAGAACCTCCTTATTTGTGACATAGTTGTCCCGCAGTGAGGTAATTTAGGTGGAAGTTTGTTGCAATTGTCTAGACGTGAATTATAGGCAAATAGAGATGCGAACAAGTCCGATTTCTCTTCTCACCAACCACCGTGCTACTAGAACAAAACGTCAGACGTCCACTCCCAACAGCGCTGTTGCTAGAACTAGTTGCCGCTATATATAAAGCCGAGAACAAATTATCGGAAGCGTCCGTCAGCCGCGGCTTATTGAAATCTAGCCAGTAGTAGTAGCCATTTCATACTACACTGTGCAAACTATATGTTGTAAGACGTGGACATGACCTTGCGTCGCTCTTGAGCGTTCAGACGTCCGAACAGAATCTGGCCGGCTGGATGTTTGTGCGTCCGCGGACAGTGTGAACGGGGCACGGGACACGTCCGCGGACGTTTCGAGTGTCACAAGAGAACCAACTGCGCTCGCGACATGATGGGTGATGAAGAAAAATTAATCGAATAAATTAATAGAATACGCCATAGCGGCATAGCGCCATGACGACTACTTACAAAACACAAGCTATGCGCTATGGAGAGCTATATTAACCACCATTACATACTATTGATTCCCAATTTTTATGATGGTCACACCAATATTACTATACTCTTTGGGTCACACTGTATCTGTCAGTAAAGAGAGCAATGTAGAGTGGTATTACCTAAAAGATTAAAATAACTATTGTTCAGTAAATTTAGCGTTTATTTTTGTCTAAATTATTTTATTTTGGTTACATAATAATATAAAATTTTCACGTTTATCACAATGAATTGACTCTACGTAATGCTCAATTTAAATGTTGGAACCTCAATTTTGTTTGTGTAAGTGCATATCAAATCCACAAATCTTTGTTGTCCAAACGCAAAAAAACAACACGTTTCATTTTGATAGCCATACTTCTGCAAATTTATTTATGTTCCAAGTAATAGTGAACATAGTTTAATTCCAGATTATTTAAACAGCAATAAATATTTAGAATATCTGCCGTGGCGTTATTGTTTATATTGAGTTGTTGTTTATAAAATGTAATCAGTGGATTTTCTGATAATTTATTCGAATAACATTTCAGACAGGTATTATATTGTTCTAATATTAAAATTCCATTGTTCTTTAATTCTTATATAACAAAGAGACCATCATATATGAAATAATTCGTTAGTTTTATGAGGTCACAATGATAAAGACGACTGTTCGTGGTAAAGTTACGCGTAGTTATCATTCTAGGTTCTAGTAATACATTTGCAGTGTTAATTTGCCCCGAGTTCTTTTTAAAACAAAAGTTTGCAGAAAATAATATATTTTTTAAACTTGTTACAGCATAATACACCCATTTAAATAATAATATGAGGTTGGACTAGTTTGTGTTATTGTTTATGATTTACTTCTAATAACTGTCAACATGTTGTATGTTTTCCATGTGGATGCTGGTCAAATGACCACATATGATATGAACCTTACACTCCAAAGGTTAGTAAAATGTTGTATTAATGAAATTTATATGGCCTAATTTTAGGATGTTATAGTGAATTTTTACATTTATGTGACTATGATACATGGAATAAAACTAATTGTACAGATTTTGTAGTGCTTAATGTTCTAATGCCAATGTCATTGGCTTGGAATTGTATTTTAATTTGACTCCTAAAAATATTCTTAATATTCAATTAAATGCTAAAGTTAATCCTAGTTAAGTATGGTGTTGGAACATTCAATTTATTTTTGACCCCCCCCCCTCTGATATACTTGTGCTGCAGAGCACTTTAAACATCAAGAAATTAAATTCATTGAAAATTAAATCTTATTATATCCATTAAATTAAAAAAAATTTCTTATAGTATGGGGTGACAAACGAGCACATAGTCCACCTGATGGTAGTTGCTGTGGCCCATAGACATCTCCATCTATCCTCAATTACGATTCAAATGCAGATGCATTGTCACCCGTGAGGACTAAGATGGAATGCCTCTTTTCCAGTAAAAAGGGTCTCCAGTTCTCTACACTCACCATATGAAAAACAGCAGCATTGAGTTACTATTTTACACTGGTATTCTGTGAGAGTGTGGTCCTTCCCCGGTCGAGCCGACCCATTCGTGCTACAACTATACTTCAAATATAACTGCAGCATGGCTCTATCATGTATAAAACGTTTTGTGTGTTTATTATTATTTATTTGGAAGAGCCATGCTGCAGCTATATTATAGTTGTAGCATGAATAGGTTCGCTCGATCGAGGTAGGACCACATAATCACAGAACACCAGCGTAAAATAGCAGTGTAATACTGCTGTGTTTTATATGGTGAGTGTAGGAACTGGAGACCATTTTTACTGGAATCGAGGCATTCCATCTTAGTCCTCAGGGATGAAAACGCATTTGCATTTTGATTCTTAATTGAGGATAAGTGTGAATCTCTGTGGGCCACAGCATCCACTTACTATCAGGTGTACTGTGTCCTCGTTTGTCATCCAATGATATAACAAGAATATATTACATTTTAAAATGTTATTTGCAGTGTGGCCAGCTTAAAAGCTGCAATAGAGAGGAAAACCAAAATTTCAGCAAGTTCTCTTGTTCTCCTTGTAAGTGGGGGTGAAGTTCTGCAATCTGATCATATGGTTTCATCATACAGCGCTGGAACAGATACTAATCCCATATATATGTTCAGCAAACCTTCAGTCAAAGATAGTAGAATAAAACAATCAAGTGAGTATTATTGTTACACAGATGACATATTACTGTATATAAGTTAATCTAACAGTCTATAATAATTCCCAATTTTTATTTTGATATATTATTAACAATACTAACCTTGTAGTGGTGGTATAAGAATATCCACTACCCCATGACATCCCATAGATTTTGTAAGAGACAATGGAGGAAATAAAACCAAAAAATTGGCAGTAGCATCAGTGGCCAAGTTAGGGCTCCAAACTAGAGCAAGATTTTGTTTTGTTGTTTTTAGCAGTTTTATAAAAATACGCCAATTGTTACACAAATTTTGATTTGTCTTCACTCTTCAGTTTCATATTCAGTACTGTCAAGGATGTGTTTAACATAGTACACAAAAGGCATACCGTAAGATAGATTGTATGATATATCAGCAATTGCATACCTTCAGTGGAGCCGTTTGGGTTTGCTTGAGCTAAAGAAAAAGATATTTACATACAATACAATAGATGAACAAAAGAAAATCATGAACAAAGTACAAACAAACTATGTACAAAAAAAAAGGGGCGCCTGGCAGATGTGAAACATCGAAATTATTTTGTTTAAGTTATATGCATAGAAGAACAGATTACGACAGGAATTAGATATGGTATAATGAAAAGATAAAGCATTACAAATTTTTGTACCATAAAATAATGACTGTTTATTATATAATTACTCATTTTCAATTTTAATTAACCGTACAAAGTGATATGGACCAACACGTATATTTCAAGTGACCCCTAAACCATGCTCAACAAATTGTAAGTACAGGCACTCACGCACACATACGCATCTTTAATCATTTGCAATCAATAACCACGTACTAAACCCGTGTGTCAAATACCATATAGTGGCGGTCGAGATATATTCATTGTGGACAGAACTAACCATGTGTCAAATAATGTATAGTGACGGTCGAGGTATATCCACTGGGCAGGACTATCCCAGTGTCAAATACCAAAAATTAAGAATCTTGTAACATATTACATTTAATGTATAAGTATGCCGTATAGTGGCGGTTAAGAATATCCACTACCCCATATCTTCCCGTGGGTGTCGTAAGAGGCGACAGAGGGAGACAGGCAGGAGATGGGCAGCAGCGTCTTCCTGATGACAACTGTGACGTAATAAAAAACTGCGGTTGCCAACCCGCTCGCCAAGCGTGGCAACTATGGCAAATACCCCCCAATGAATAAATACACAAAAAGACGGCCCCCAGTCCCCGGCGGCCCCGCTATTCCTGGCTACGGTGGCGACCATGGTAACGGCGGGGCAGGGGGTGCTAAGAATCTCCGGTGGAGGTTCGGTTGCCACCTACGACGACTCGACCTGGCAACATATAACGCACGCACCCTGAGGACTGACGAGAAGATACTGGAGCTGGAAGAAGAGGTAGACAAGTTGCGCTGGCATATTATTGGATTATCCGAGGTCCGAAGAGGGGAGGGGGAGGAAACGGCAATCCTCGAGTCCGGCAACTTGTTCTATCACCGGGAGGGCGACCATCTGTCCCAAGGAGGTGTCGGATTTATCGTCCACAAATCTCTCGTCAACAACGTTGTAAAGATTGGGAGTGTGTCGACGAGGGTCGCGTACCTGATACTCAGAATCACCAAACGGTATTCGCTGAAGGTCATTCAGGTTTACGCACCAACCTCGGCACATCCCGATGAGGAGGTGGAGGAAATGTATGAGGATATTTCCAGAGCCATACATTCCTCCAAAACCTACTACACGGTGTTGATGGGAGACTTCAACGCAAAACTGGGCACAAGAGAAAGCGGTGAGCTGAAGGTAGGGAAATTTGGAGTAGGGCAACGGAACCGAAGGGGCCAGCAGCTGGCTGACTTTATGGAGAAAGAGGGACTCTTTATGATGAACTCTTTCTTCCAGAAGCGGCCCCACAGGAAGTGGACCTGGTCGAGCCCCGACGGTTCGACAAAAAATGAGATTGACTTCATTATGACGACCAGACGCCAACTGTTCAGTGATGTCTCAGTGATCGCAAGGGTGAAAACTGGCAGCGATCACCGAATGGTTAGAGGCACACTGAACCTAAACGTTAAGTTGGAGAGGTCTCGTCTAATGAAGTCAACGCTCCGTCCCCCTCGTGCTCTAATACAGAATCCCGAAACCTTTCAGCTCGAGTTACGTAACCGCTTCCAGTGCCTAGAAGATTGCAATGCAGTGGACGATATGAACGACAAGCTCGTGGAAACTGTCCATGCGGTCGGAGCTAAGTTCTGCAAGACCCGCCGCAGAAGAACACAAAAACTCTCCGATCACACTCTTAATCTCATGGCTGTTAGACGGGAGATGAGGCTGCAATCGTCAACAGATTTGACAGCATACAGGCAACTGAACAGACAGATCTCCAAATGCATACGGCGAGACTTACGCAACTTTAATACTTCTCGTATTAAAGAAGCGATCGAGCGGAACCAGGGCTCCAAAGTCTTTGTCAGAGATCTGTCTGCCAGAAAGAGCCAACTGTCAAGGCTGAAGACTGAGTGTGGCAACATCGTTTCCGGGACACCTGAGATTTTGAGTGAGATTGAGAGGTTCTATGGGCAGCTGTACACATCATCGTTGGAGCCACACGCAAGTGTGAGTAACGATCCAAGAGCAAGTCTTATCCGACACTATTCCGATGATATCCCGGACGTCAGTCTAAGCGAGATTAGAATGGCTCTCCAGCACCTTAAAAACGGCAGGGCCCCAGGCGAGGATGGAATTACAGCGGAGCTTCTGAAAGCGGGTGGAACACCGGTACTTGAAGTCCTTCAGAAGCTCTTCAATTCCGTCCTCCATGGTGGCACTACTCCAGAGGCGTGGAGCAGAAGTGCGGTGGTCTTGTTCTTTAAGAAAGGCGACAACGCTCTCTTAAAGAACTACAGACCGATTTCCCTTCTGAGCCGCGTCTACGTGCTGTTTTCGAGAGTCATTACGAATCGTCTCGCACGCAGACTTGACGACTTCCAGCCTCCCGAACAAGCCGGTTTCCGAAAAGGCTTCAGTACCATAGACCACATACATACCCTGCGGCAGATTGTACAGAAGACTGAAGAGTACAATCTGCCACTTTGCCTGGCGTATGTGGACTATGAGAAAGCCTTTGATTCCGTCGAAATTTGGGCGGTGCTACAGTCCCTTCAGCGGTGCCAAGTTGACTGTCGGTATATCGAAGTGCTGAAGTGTTTGTACAGTAGGGCTACGATGGCTATCCGAGTACAGAACCAGAGCTCGAAACCTATCCAACTGCAGAGAGGTGTAAGACAGGGTGACGTTATATCCCCGAAACTCTTCACCGCTGCATTGGAAGACGTTTTCAAGCTACTGGACTGGAAAGGATACGGTATTGACATCAATGGCGAGTACATCACTCACTTTCGATTTGCCGACGATATAGTCCTTATGGCAGAATCGCTGGAGGACTTAAGCACTATGCTCAATGACCTCAATAGTGCCTCCCAACGGATAGGTCTTAAGATGAACATGGACAAAACAAAGATCATGTTCAATGTCCATGTCACACCTATGCCGGTAGTTGTTGGGAGCACTATGCTCGAAGTTGTTGACGAATACGTTTACCTGGGACAAATAGTCCGACTAGGTAAGTCCAACTTCGACCGAGAGGTCAATCGACGGATTCAACTCGGCTGGGCAGCGTTCGGGAAATTACGGCATATCTTTTCGTCAGGTATACCTCAATCTCTAAAAACTAGATTGTACAACCAGTGCGTGTTGCCAGTGATGACTTACGGATCTGAGACGTGGTCCTTCACTGCTGGCCGTATGAGGACGCTTAAGGTCGCTCAGCGAGCTATGGAGAGGGCTATGCTCGGAGTTTCTCTGCGTGATAGACTCAGAAATGAGGATATCCGCAGTAAAACCAGAGTGACCGACATAGCCCAACGGATTAGTAAGCTGAAGTGGCAATGGGCCGGCCATATAGCTCGAAGAACCGATAACCGATGGGGAAGAAAGGTTCTCGAGTGGCAGCCTCGTACCGGTAGGCGTAGTGTAGGGCGACCCCCCACTAGATGGAGTGACGACCTGGTAAGACATGCAGGAAGTCGATGGATGCAGGTGGCTCAGGACCGTGCTTTGTGGCATTACTTGGGGGAGGCCTATGTTCAGCAGTGGACTTGTGAAGGGCTGTAATGATGAATGATGATGATGATATAAGTGTTCCCAACATTCGTAACAATTTTCAGTGTTTGCATATTATTTTAATATTAAATGTCTATTTTTAACTAACTGAAAATTAGCTGTACCAAAACCGTGTGTCAAACACCATACAGTGGTGTCGAGGTATATCCACTATGGGTAGAATTAACTGTACCAAAACTCTGTGTCAAATTCTATATAGTGGCGGTCGAGGTATATCCACTGGGCAGAACTAACCCAGTGTCAAATACCAAATAAATTTAGAATCCTATAACATTTTACATTTAATTTATAACAGTGTTCCCAACATTCGTAACAATTTTCAATGTTTGTGAATTATTTTAATATTAAATGTCTATTTTGACCGAACTGAAATTTAACTGTTTCAAAACCGTGTGTCAAACACTGTACAGTGGCTTCGAGGTATATCCACTATGGGCAGAATTAACTGTACCACAACCGGTTGTCAAATACCGTATAGTGGCTGTCGAGGTATGTCCACTATGGACCGAAATAACTGTGTTCCAAAACCGTCTGTCTAGTGCCGTATAGTGGCGGACGAGCTATATCACCTATGGGTGGAACTAAGTGTGTACCAAACCGTGTGTCAAGTACCGTATATTGGCTGTCGAGGTATATCCACTATGGGCCGAAATAACTGTGTACCAAAACCGTCTGTCTAGTGCCGTATAGTGGCGGTCGAGCTGTATCAGCTATGGACACAACTAAGTGTGTACCAAACCGTGTGTCAAATACTGTTTGGTTGCAGTCGAGGTGTTCAAAGTATGGGTAGAACTAACCGTGTACCATAACTGTGTGTCAAG